TACATATTCCGAGTCATATTCAATCTGAGCCAAATAAAATGAGCAGGTTTCGTTAAGCAAAAGAGGCGACCACAGGCTGAACTCACCTGGCGTTCCACCTGCACCCGGCACTCCTCAAATACTGCCAAATACTGACCAAATACTGCACCTCTATTCTCTCAGTGAGCTCCCTGAATGCGATTTATCACTCAATTTGAGCCAAAATCAAATTAACAGGTTTAATTAGCCCACAGAGCAGCATTAAGTAAAACGGAGGTGACCACAGGCTGAACTCACCTGGCGTTCCACCTGCACCCGGCACTCCTCCTTCAGAGACTTGACTAAGGCCTCCAGACGCTGCACCTCCATGCTCCTCTCGTCCAGCTCCCGCCGCAGGCTGTCGATGGCGATGCTGTTCCCCGTGTCGCGGTCCCACAGACGCTTGTTCTGCTCCCTCTCCAGGTTCAGCTCCTCCTGGGCCTTGTGTAAGTTAGCCTGCAAAGTTAACACCCACGTCATCGCTTAACCACAGCATTTAAGGAATGTTTTTAAATCCTTAAAAAAATCAAAATTAAAATTTAAGGGATCTGCATTAAAAAAAAAGTATTCTCCAGAGTCATTATCACTTGTTTGCATTTCCTGGTTTGTATTATTATTCTCATGTGCTAAAATGAGGGAGACATGCTATGAACAGAGTGTGAGCTGCATTTTGATTTTATCAGCAGTGGGGTTTGAAGCACACAGAACAGGGCTCTGAAGGAAACATGGGACCAGGCGATGTAATTCACAAGCCTCCCCAGCGCGGCGAAGGAGTAAGAAACTACATGAACAAGGAGATCCACGCACCATCAGCTGGCAGAGCTGTGAATCGAGGTCCCCAGACTCCTGGCTGTATTGATCTCTTTCACACTGGGCAGCCTCGGCCTCCGAGCAAGCCAAAATCAATTTCTTCTCCAGGCTCTCCACCTGCCGCAGGGCATGTCAGAGGTCACGACACCATCACCGAGATCACAGGCAGGCAAAGTGCATTACGATGGATACAGTACATACACACACATCATCTGCCATGGAAAACGAGACCCGCCATTCACTTGTTTTTAAAGCATTTGTTGCAGTCTATAACTGTATTCAGATACATGAGAAACATTGGGAAACATACCAACAAAATCTTTCCTTGTTTACAGTATTAAATGCATGCCTTTGCAAAATTACTTTTGACCAGCCTGAAAAATACATAAAAAATAATGGAGGGAACATTGATCATTCATCAAAAGGACAGCTGGTAGCTGCTGTCAGGAGAAAAGTGACGTCTTTGTGTAAACTTTACAGATGACTCCACATCACACCATTACAGTTTATATTTTGCAAGGTGGGACTTTTAATTTCAGATCTCTAAATTCTGAGATGTAAGCTTTTGGATCATTAAAGATAAAACCGATTCTCCAGCTGCGGCACCTAGATGTTGAAGTTTAACTTACAAACTTCAAACTTAATCCATTTTACCAACAGACAGGGTATAGCAGCAGCTGTAAAGGTGTGTAAAGACTGTTAAGACTCAGGAAAAAAAACACAAGGTAAAGATGATCCTTTCTAACTATTAAGTACAGCTTTCATTTCCACACGTATATTCCCCCCCCCAAGAGTATTATTTTTGGCATTCCTCTATCCCCCTTTTCAGAATGGCAGAGATGAGCATAAAGGACGCTGCAGGGCAACAGCTGTGCAAAACTAAAAATACAAGCAGGCCACTCGTCCAGATAATGAATGATGTAGACAAGCATGTTCCGATCACTCCAGAAAACCTATCCCATTGGGATCCGCTGGCCAGGGCTGGGCTCCAGCCAATCCCTTCCTGCCAGACCACCGCCCACCACGATCAGTGTCGCATTCCTCGGTCTCACGGCTTCAGCTGCATTCTTACATGACACCATCTTTCTCCTTCTATCTCTGGGAGAAGAGGGACTCCCTCACGTGATCTACGATGGTTAAACAGGCTTCTGTTCGCACTTCCATATTAGTATCATTCTTTTGTCACTTGATTCTGTGTAGAATTTAAGCAGATCACATACAAGCCCAATTTCACGGATGACTCTGGCTTCCATTTAAATGTGACAGGTATACAAGCTCTTCGTCAAGCGTTTTTACGAAAGCTCCCTTGCGAACAAATTTTTCGACCGATTTTATAACATACATTGTCCGTCCACCCATTTTCCAACCACTTCCTCCAACTCAGGGTTGGTGGTGGGGTAGGGGGATTCGGAGCCTATCCCAGCAGGCAATGGGAGCACGACAGGATACACCCTGGACGGGACTCCACTCCATCGAAGGGCACACACACACACTCACAGGAGAGCCAATTTTCCCAGAAGCCAACTAAGCTGCCAGTTTAGATTGTGGGAGGAAACCCATGCAAAATTCACATTCCCCGCAGAGAGCACCCCAGGAATTGAATCCAGGGCCTCAGCACTGCGAGACAGCAATGCTAAACACTGTGCCACCATGACGCACATAATATATATTTTGGGAAAACACTGAACTAGAAAATGCTACACACTAAATTAAAGAGATGGAGGTTGTATGCTTAAGATTGTTTGCCAGAGACATTAAGTGTGTTCTATCCTTTGTATAGTCCTAATGTCAATGTGTCTGATGGCCTCAGTTGCAGACTAGAGATCACAGCAGGCACAAAACCAAACAAGTGTGAGGATCACAACCTTTACAGTAAAAAGCAAGTTTAACTTTGTTTGGTCTTCTCCATGTAAAGTGTGTCAAGGACTGTGTTCTTGGCTTTTAAAGGCATAAACGTTTACTTAAAAATAAGAAGTTTTAGCAAATTAAGTTTTCCAGGTGCATCAGGAGAAAATGAGACGCACATCACCACCTCAACACCAGGATCCAGCAATATTATATAATGCAACACAATCATATTTCAAAACATCCATCACTTTTTAGTAAATCATATTTACATGTGGTGGCACAGCATTTTCTGTTAATAGCAAACGAACAAAGAAATTGTCGCAGGGCAAAAGGTGATTCAAGTGCAGTAACAGAGGTAGACTTGCTCTTTTGTTTTCAACTTCGCCCATTCTGGAGAACCGAAATGCAGGCAACAGAAAAGTTAGTTCTCCCACCAGCAGTTTTCAGTCTGCTCTGCAAATATTTAAGAGACACAGAAAAGGCACACACACAGACAAACTATTGTTTGTGTAACAATCTGCTACTGTGAAGTGGTGGACTTATTCACAACGTCCGCAAAATCTCATAGTATGGGTCCTAAACTAAAGCAGCATTTTCATAAATGACAACAGGAGTCGATACTGGTAGATACCGAGTTACCCAATATCAGCATTTGGTACCAGTCAATCCCGAAGATCAATACTTGTGCTTCTGCTTTAAACCACCCACAGAGTTTCAGGTCAACCCACAGTGTTGAGTTGGTTTAGCAGTATCAGCAGCAAATGTTCACGTTTTGTGGTCTCTTTTGTTGCCACGCACACAATTAGTCTGCACGACTGACTGATCTGCGTTTTGTGTTCCGGGGGGCCGTAAACAAACCTTGTCTTCATACATCCTTTTGGCTTCCCGCAGCTCGGAGCGCAGGTGGGAGACTGTGGACTCCAGGTCAGTGACCTGACGGAGGTACATCGTGCTCTGGTTTGCAGCCTGCTCTCTAGAAGGAACACAGGAGGCATGTTCAGGACTACTGTCCTGCATTGGCAACAGCTGGGTGAGAATTCATACAACAGTTAATTACTAGCAATAAGAACTCAGATTGGTTACATTGCCTGCCTAGGTCTTCCTTAGGTTTTTTAGACTTAATAAAAGCAAGTCTTGGTAAATCAGTCAAGATTTTAACTGCTTTCTATGGAGTTACGGGGTATTAAAGCATGGAAGGAGTCCCAGATTTGAGCCTTGCTGCTCCTCACAACATCCAATAGGACAATCAGTGATCAGGAAGAAGTGCCTCTGCTTACTGTACAATGTCCATTTGCCTCTGGATGCTTGTGGCTTGACAGCGAGCACTACCCAGCTTCTCAGACAATGCTGCCACCTCCTGTTCATGGCTGAGAATGAGCTGCTCCATTCTGGGGAAAAAAAGACGAACCCACTGAAAACAGCAACTGATATGTTTGGGGCCCATTTTCTCCAAAGAGAAAATCTGAATGAACTTGAGATTCCAAGCACAACTGGTAGTGCTGCCTGTCTGATTATTAAAGTGCTTGAAAAAATCATGACGAAAACAGCAAGGTAGGTTAAACATGGAAAAACACACTTAACACACTTGGCCACAGAGTCTTGATCTTCACTATGTGTTGTGTCTTCCAAGGTGGATGGAGTTTTTTCTCATCACTTCATTCAACTATCATTGAGGATATTAGTTTTTTTAATCTTTCCAAACTTCTCTTTATGAGTTCTGAAACATTTGTACATCCGTTCACAAATTCACACCTTTCACTCCACAAGCACACTGACAGGTGTTACCGTTCTTGGTGCTGCTTCAAAATCAGGTCTGCTTTGAGCTGCCCCTCTCGTTTCTCGGCCTCCAACTGCTCTGCCACCTGCCAGTGAACAAGTTTTCATGGAAATATCAAATCCCCACTGAAATAAATTGATATAATTCATTTACAACGCCTGCAAACGACACTTCCCCTAAAAAGTGAGTTACCCAGAAATAACTCGCTCCAGTTCTACTACAGTGATTTTCTCTTCAGTCTGTGTTCTCTGCTTGGCCGACTATTGTATTCCCACAGTTTGCACATATCTATCAACACCATGTGTCTATCTGTCACTCATAACAGCATCACTGCTTTCATAATTTGAGGGAGAGCTGTCAGGATTCTGGTTTAGCTAATAAATGAGTCAAGCTCAAGTCAGGTTCACCTGCAAGGAATGGCAAGGACCAGAAAGAAGTAGCTTAACATGAGGATGCAGAAGTTCATGTCTGGAGAATTTTAATTGATGAAGTGTGAACCAGACTTGATTTCTGATCCCACATTCACATGCACATTTTTAGCCATCAGATGCTCAGTGACATACTTAAATAATCCTCTTTTTTAATAAGCCTCTTTTTCACTGTTCATACAGATGCCCGTTTTGAGGGGATTGATGCGTTTAAATCAGGACAAAATCTGCCTGCCTCTTCTGTGTATGACTGAGTTAACACTAGCACGCTTCTGCGGCTGTTCCTTACTCTGCCATTCAGCGGTGCTGCTTGTGAGCAGGGATTTTCCCTGGTCAAAATAAAAAAATACAAGTTTTGGACCCACCTCACGCCTGCTCAAAACCACATTCATCAATAGGTTTTAAAAAAACTTAAACTGTAAATTACGTAATGATATGCCATGATGGATGAATGGATGTTTGACCGTCATGCATTTGGCATGCAGGGGCAGCCACATCCTGTTGCTGTTACTGTAACATTAGTTTTTTTACAGGAAAGGGTTGTTAGCCTTGTGCCCAACCTCCAACCTCCAACGTGGAGGACCAGGCGCCCGACGTGGGACACGAACCTGCTACCCTGAGATTATGAGTCTCATGCTCCACCAACAGAGCTAGCTGGAGCCTGCCGTGAACATCATCCAAAAGGAAATAAAACAATATCCAGCAAATATCAGAAAGATAGAGCATTAATGCTCAATTTACTAGCCGGAACTGGATATAAAAATATTATGAGAATTTAAATAAGAAATAAACAATAAACCTTTCTTTAAAGACAATTTTCAGAGAATTCTATACTGTATTGTACAGTATGTACACAGTGACGAAACCCTGCATAAAGAGCTTAACTCCAATATTTTAGCTCTTGCAGGAGCCACTAAATATTTATTGGACAAGCACAAGAGGATAATCACCCACTTTTAGATAATAATAATGTGATTATTAAAGGTTTTTATAACCAGAGCTTTACAGGCAGATAAAGGCATTATCTACTAATTGTACCTTGACCAGTAAAATTGCCGTTAATTACATTTTCATATGTGCAGATTGTATTTGAAACCACTGTTATCTGTAGCAATTTTCAAGTTTAAAATCAATACAGCATAAATATAACTCTAATGTTTTGTCTTAATTTATAAAAAAAACATTATATAACAATTCTGGTGTTTAAACGGCACAATTCTTTTTTTAAGATTGTGCACTAGGCTGAACGCTGTTACAGTTTTAATTCCAGTGGATGGTTCCCTTTCTATTAAACCCATTAATAGACTGGGACAGAAGATGATACAGATTTGAGACAGGCTGTCATTTTACGCAGTGTGCTGAAGAAAATCTATGATAAAGGGCAAAGTAGCAGGAAACACTGCAGGTGAATAAAGACGCTGCAATAAGCCACCAGCAGGCTGTAGGCAGTGACCCACTGCGGAGCTCGTGTCCTTCGTCCAGTGACTTACAGGGAGGACTCTCCCTCGAAGGGCGGCGTTCTCTGCCTCCAGGGCGCGGAGCACCTTTCCCAGCGCGGTGCCCAGGTTCTGGTCGTTCAGCGTGGCGGTGACCTCGTTCTCGTGGGCTTTCTTGCCACTGCGCTGCTCGTGGGCCAGCAACTCAGAGCGCACTTCCTGCAGCGCTTGTTCCTGGGCCGCTCTCTTCCGGCTCAGCGGCTCCGCCCTGCTGGCGGCGTCCCGCATCTCCTGCTCCTGGGCCAGCCTGGCCGCCTCCAGCTCCCTGACCGAGGCCTGCAGCTTGTTGATCAGCTCCGCTTGGCCTCTGGACTCCTTCTGCCTGTAGAGACAGTCAACAGGGGAAGAAGAGACCGTGGCCAACTAAATAACCTGGCAGGAGCTAAAAACCTTTGCAGCTTTGTACGAATACAAAGGAACAAGTAATAGGTTTACTCCCTGCTGAAAAGAGAAGAAAGAAAACACAACGTTTCAGCCGTGGAGCCTTCCATCACCTGAAGAAGGCTCCACAGCGGAAACGTTGTGTTTCCTTTCTTCTCTTTTCAGCATGGAATAAACCTGTTACCCGTTCTTTGGCAGCCTACGCATGCTGACGCAGCTACCCACCTGAACTACTTTGTACGGATACATTGTGGCCTGTGAAATCCAGGAGACGGGCATAAAGCATTATTCACCATGTTGTCACAGGCATGACCAACTTAACGCTGCGCAATGTTCCCTTTTAAGCTTGTGAGTTTGTAACATTCTGAAATCTTAATACAGTGCAGCTAATATGTTACACTAGTGTTCCTCATCAGCGAGTAGAAGGTATTACTGCGAGGAAGGATACTTTTTCCCCCCCCCCAAACGGGCTACATGGGCTGAATAGCCTTCTCAGGTTTGTATCCATTCTTATGTTCTTAAGTCTTCAGATCCATATTTCTCATGAAGGCAAGCTGTGTTAAATTGTATTCACATAGTCCCAAGGTATTTCCACTAGACTTTCCTGTGTTTTCAAGTGATTCAATGAGAGAAAGAAGGTATTATTATGTTGATGTTCAGAAAATGTTTTTTTTACTGAAAACTGAAGATAACACGTTTTGTCCCTCCTAAGCAGGCAGGGACACTATACTTTACCAACTGCAATAATGTATGTCGTAATGTCTCAGAAAGTCAGAATTTCCTACACACAAACATTTGAAACCCAAAGCTCAGGATGCACTTAGATACCGGTTTTTTCAGTGCGCTTGATTAGGTATCACCGAAACAGAAGAGACGGATTGGTTCGCTCCTTTACCTGATATCAGCCAGAGCATCTTTCTCAATCTGACTCTCCTGCAGCTTGGTCTGCAGTTTAATGATGGACTGGCGAAAATGGAACTTTTGCTGTTCATGAAGTTCACATGTCTGCAATACATTAAAAATAGATCATTTTCAATCAATCATGAATGTTATTTATCTCTATGACAAATGATTTGGCTGACTTTTTTTTTTTATCCATGTGAGCTCCACATTTATAAAGAGGAGTGTTTCTCGCTGAAGCAAGCTCAGTGAAGTACCATCGTCAGACGTACAACTGCACTGTCCCAGCTGGGATCTGAACCCACAGGTATCTGGGATCTGAGCCCACAGCTGCGATCTTTCCAGTATAAATTCAGAGCCCTATCTCCTCCTCCACAATTTAGCCAAATCGATCACATACTTGCCCATGAAGCCAGCAGGAAACTAAAAGAAACTTGAGAAGCTCACAATTAGATCAAACTACTGTCACCAAGAAACCAACATTAAGCCCAACAAATATGTTCTTACTCTTTAGAGATGTTGTCTTGTGATCAATATTAATGTAACGTCCAACAGAAGCTGATCACAAACTTTTTACAGACAATGTTTGCAAACACACCAAAAATCATGTGAGTTTCTGGCCAAAAATACAGCTTTTCAAATACTGTACAATATTATAAGCTATTTAGCACAACATTTCACAATAATATAAGAATAAGGTTTCTGGTAAGTGGCACTGGAAACCTTGGTCAGAACCTAACAGAGCTATGGGGAAAAATAATAACAGGAGCAAACGTAATACTCACTGCAATCTATCAGACACACCTCAATGTTATGTCATTGTTCTCTTAAATACGCCACATACTGTAGATCCACTCCCTTTTCTTACACTCTACACAGTCAGTTTAAAAGCATGTGGACAGTTGTCGAAACAACAGCAATAACAACAAAGTAGAGCTATTCTTCATATCCAGGGATTTCAAAGCTATTTCCAATAACAACCCAGCTGAACAAACAGCCCTGCAGAGTGTTGCAGCCGACCATGGAGTGGAGTGGAACACCACAGGCATTTTGAACCAATACCCCTCGGAGCAGATAAACCACAGGCATGGATCAGAAAAGAGCTTTGGCTGGGAGCTTTTCATCCTGCACAAGGTTGAAACGAGGAATTTAGCTTACTGGCATTCTTACAACCTGCCTTAGGGTTGGCCCTGACAATGTGCCTAACGAACCTGCTCTTAAAAAAAGACAAGACCTATAATGTCCACTATATAACTCAAGGTTCACAGCTTCAGTGTCATTCTTTGTCCAAAAGACTCTTAAGCAGATCAAGGTTTTAACTTGCCTTTAAATGTCACAATTTCATATTGCTTTGTAAAAGGACTGCAACATGTTAATTAACTATCATTCTATGACCAGTAGACTGAAACTAGAAGCATAACTTTAACTATTTAACTAATTTTATTATCCGTGCATGGGTGTATCATGTTTACAGCACTAAATGTAAAGGTATTCATTCATTTCAAAGCTTGTAATCCTTATCAAGAGTACAAACGTATTAAGACAGTTTCCTTCAACCTTATTAACTTATATTATTGAATGGACAGAATGACCATGTCAAAGAGGTCAAAAATTTAATCAACTAAAGCTGTTCAGCTTTATGCAAGTGTGAAAATCTGTTTTTATCCTTCCACACCATATTGTCACACTTTTTCTTCAAACTCTCTTTTTCCTAACAGATTCTGCATCAACCACATCTGGATTCTGACACATTTGAGTTCGAATGTTCTTAGGACAGCACCTTCACCTTCACCTAACACGAGCAGTTGGCGGAGATTCGGCTTCCACATTGCAACATTTCACACATGCTGGCTGCCAGAGAGCGACCCCCTTGTGGGATCACTGCGCTGACCTCACTCAGTCTCCTCTGGAGCTCCTTGACCTGCTGGCCATACTCCTCCAGGGCCTTCTCCAGGAGATCCTTCCCAGGGAAACCACAGCTCCGGCGCAGCGCCTCCAGCTCCAGCCCGTACCTCAGGGACAGGCCAGCAGACTGCCCACTTGAAGTCAGCACATCCTGGCCATTCACCTCTGAAATGGTATCTTGAGAGGGCAATGCAAGAGTGCTTTATTTCTGTCCCCATCGATGTACTGTATAACAGCTCCTGTGATAAAAGCTACGATATGTCAATTCTCAGAAAGATGGACCACTATTCTCATTTTTTTCTAAACCCCTTATTAGAAAGCGACACAGAACACTCAGAATTACAGGACTGGTGTGTAATAGGCAACTACTGGAAGATGCTTCTGGACTTTCAGTGTTTTTGAAAAAAACCTGGCAAGACTCTGTGAGAGACATCACTACTTATGAAACGTAGAAAGAGGGTGGTTTTGTCTTGGTCTGAGAGGATATTTTTGCAAGTGACCACCATTGCAGGGTAGGAGGTCAAATTTGCTAGCCAATGGTGAACATTAAAGCACCCTTTTTTTTCCCAGAAGGCATTTCTAACAACACTGGCCAACATTTCATTGTTTTATTGCAGTGACAGGATGTTCGGCCTGCTGCATCCTACAGCAATGTTGAACAGGCAAGACTTGCCGATACAGGAAGCTCATGTTTTTCATGAACAACGGGAAGACTGGTTCGGCCCACATGAATTTGAACTGTGTCTGCTGGTGATGGAGACAAGGTACAGTATCTGGTTATAATGGTTCACAATATTGTCCAGCCAAGGCATAAAAGTCACAATTTGATTATCATCGCCTTTCTTGTTAATGGTTATTATTTTCTGTTCTCTGTCTGACTAGCTTGACGATGGTTCATTTTGGCGGTGAACACACGTTTTCCAGGAGACAGATGAGGAAAGAGTTTTAGGTGCAGAGTTGGTGTCTATTAATTCTGCTGACACTAAGCCAGCCAGACTGAGCTCTGTGCCCTTACCTAGTGAGACGCTGAGGCCGCTGGTGGGTCGAGGAGCTGGGTCTCCAAACGAGCGACTAATCTTCTCCATGGTGAGTTTAGTGGCCTGTTCCACCTCCTCCTGTAGTCTCTGGGTCTCCCTTGTCTGCCTCTCCAGATGCTCCCTGAAATTGTCAGTTCTATTACATTTACAGCATTTAAGAGGAAGATCCAGAGAATTACAGTAACACTGGAGCACTGGAATAATGGGCCAAGCCACAAAAATGATTGTAAAATCCTTATAATACTGTGGAATTCACCCTACCCTGTTTTATCCATCATACACACATAGTAAATTTTGAAAGAGTCTACAAACAGAATAATATACTACATCTGACCTTTTTAAAATTGTACGTACAGTATATACAGCAGCTCAAGGCTTAAACAGGAAGAACAATACACAGTGACAAAGTACTGCAAGAGCATGTGAGGTTGTATAGTCTGACAATATACAGCAGTAGGACTACTTGATTCAAATGCCCTGATAAAAAAAGCTAATAAAATAAACCTCTGGTCACACCTCAGCTCTTCAAGACTCCTGTTTCCCAGTGAGGCAAATCTGATACCTGCAAGAGAAAGTACATAAGTTTGGATTACAATACCTCAAACACAACCATTGTTTCCCTATATACAATACCTGCTTTTACAATAGGATATAAAACACATCCGTATTGGATGCCTCTACATTTGCAGGGTATGAATTAAATATTTGCAATGTCTTTCATTGCAATGGCTACTTTTTCAACTTCAAAGCTACTGCAAAATGAAAACCACCATAAACCATTTCTAACACGAAATGTTCTGCTGTACTAAATAACAGCACAAATATATTCCAACTTTTAATTCAGAATAGATCCATTTAGCAGAGTCTTGCAAAATGAAAAACTGGTATTATCAGCTGAAAATACTAATGAACCTCTATCATAGAAGCAGGAATAGTTTAATTTTTATTTAATTAAAATGGTGTGTGATGAAATTGACTGAAGAAAACATCACATGAAGGATTTCCATGCCCTGGGAGTGGCCTGGCATGATAAGGGGACACCCTTTAAGGATGAAAAAGAATATGGAAAACTAGCAACATGTACATGAATTCTACCCTGCCCCCTGGTGAATTTTGAAAATATCTCAATCAGAATTTTCAGGTGAGCACCTGCTGATACCCAGCACTGTCAGGGCATTTGAAAAAAACAAATGAAATCAAATGTCGCTTATGGTTCGAAAAACCCTTGGGAAAGGATTCACTTCGGGGAATAATGGAGGACATTCTAACTGAAAGCTAAAACACCTTCAGGAAATCTCACATATTTCAAAAGCCCATTACAATGAGGGCACTCCTGTGAAAATTTAGGATTTAGCCTTCAGTACCTTCAGATTCAGCATAGGAGCCAACAGCGATTTTGTGCAAAGGCTGCAAACTCTTGGCAGCCTTTTCTTCCAGAATACTTTCTCCACCTGCAAGAAAATATTTACAAAAATTAACGAGATGATCACTCAGTTAAAACAAAGTTCGCTAAAACTGCAAAACTTCCGATTATCGAAAGGTGGCAAATCAAAAGCCAGTTCATTCCACGAGTGTGTATCACAAAATGAGTGATGCGCAGTTAGATGAAAGAAGAGAAAATACGTTCATTAAGAACATTTCAGAAAGCACACAAAACATTTACATAGGCTACTAGCCTTTGATGTGTATTAGTGGAATCAATAAAACGTGTACAGTACCTTTAACAGTTTTATATCATTATTCATAGAGTACCCATATAAAAAAAGAAGAAGGGTTCCAATGTTAGAACATGTTTTAGTTTCACTAATATTGTGAAATCTTAAAGTTCTCCCCTAACAACCATGTTATAAAGAGATGGCACTTGCATTTCATATACAAATCGGGAGAGTCAAGCAAAATTAGATTTTGTAGTTTCACACACAAGGCATTTCAAGAAATTAAGCATCTGCACACAGCCATTGTAGGCTTGGTATCTGGCAGAAACATTTTATAAGTCAAATGTGTACTCTGGAAAAAAGCACAGGCTTGGAAAGAGTGTTTGAAACGATGAAACGATGTTCACACTCCCTGCCCAGTAGTACCACACTCACAATGGCATAGAGAGCGTTAGAATTTCTCTAAGTCATTTTCAGGTCGTGTGCAGAGCCAGCCACAAAACATCAAGCATTTTTCACATCAGAACTGCCATCGTGATCTTGATCCAGCTGGCCACTGTAGAAACTATACTACCATCGAGATCTTGATACAGATTGCCATGGTAGAAACTATACCATCATCGTGCTCTTCATACAGCTTGCCTCTGTAGAAACTATACCGTAGATATTCACCGCCACTGTACAAAATTTACACTTATCTGGCGAAGCATGGCAAGTAGGAAGACCTGCTCTAGACGCTAAAAATACACACCAAAAGTCATTTATTACGTAACATTAACACAAAAGCCTCGTACAGCATGGATCTTTAAATAGGAGTTTTAATGTGGTGCTTTCTGAACACACAGGCGCTATACAGTAAATAACACGACCAAACTATGACCGAAACTTTCGGGGCTCTGTCTGTCTCGTATACTTTGGGGCCACGTATCACTGTCTGATTTGTATATACATTTGATCACACTGGGGAAACGCAAAAGCTCACTTTTCCCTACCTGTTGGGCATCCTATATAGTGTAACACTCACGGTGTGAGAAAGGTAATGCTTCACATGAACGTTTTGTGTACGGTGCTCTCCCGACACACACTGCTGTATGCCGTATACATCACCCCACCGTGTGGATTTACTCCTCGTTTGAGTTATGTTGTAGGGAAGTTACTTACTTTCGGCAGAGGGAGGGGAGCTCTCGATGACCGAAGCTCCCTGAACGGACACTCCAACCGTAACTCCGGAGCCTGTTGCCATGCTATAACTTTTTGCGATCAAAGAAGTGTCATTTCTACCGATTTCTCGGCTTTCCGACGACATCCCTCCGATCGGACGAGGACAAAGCCAAATCTTAAAAGCAAAACTGAACCCGAACCCAAGAACTCTGCCGGCGTGCAAATTTGTGTTCCCTGTTCCCCAGTTTCAAACGGAAACCTTAGGGAAACTGTGACATCACCAAGGCAACCGCGGTTGGCTGATAATGGATAAATCTGGTTTTGTTGACAGTCGAGCGCTTTTATTAATGCTTACCCGTTGCGAAGAGACATCATTTGTAAGCAATATCATTGTGACGCGACTATTCCTACGCAGTGCTGTTCTAGAATTTTATTTGACGCTTTTGTGCGGCGGAGCCATCTGTAAGTGCAATCACACAAAAGCACCTGCCGTTGCCGCTTTCAGTCAGTCCCTGTTTACAGCACTTCTGCCCTGCACTGCATTATGGGGAATGCAGTTCCCTGAGTATAATCAATCCCTTTCTTAGATAGACACTGTACTTTATTGATCCCGTGAGGGTAATTGCTGTGCAACAGCAGCTTAACACGGACAACACAGCCGCACTGTAACGAATGATACAATAAGAGTAATACAATACATACAATACAATCAGTACAGTGAGAAGTGCACAAAGAAGAGTTACACACAGTCCAGAACACACAAAGAACAAACCATTTTGTGACAATTATGAAGAGGCACGATTAATATCATCTAGAAATGTAAGGAAACAACGCACATGGGAGAATTCAGAGATCCTTAAGCCAGGATATGTTTTTTTTTTTCATCTTGGAGATAAAAGTTACGAAGTTGACAGAATTTAGTGACCAAGAAAAGTCTGGTACCTGAAAATACTGGGTAGACGTTTTGGGTCTCACAGCGTATTATGGGTATTATGAGAGTAAAAAAAAAAGTAACCTGAACAGGCTTAAATTAAAAACCGTACTGGAAATCAAATCAAAGGTTAAATGGATAGTGTGTATCCATTACTGTTGGTGCTTGTTCAAAGAACAAGTTGGCTAGACAAGGCTTAAACTTTCTAAATACATGTTGACTGCTCGGGATTAATAAAGTATCTATCTATTATTTCCATAAAGTTGAACATCTAGCTTAGTTCCAATAATAATTTCCATCACCTTAGATGTAAAAGAAGTCAGACGTATTGATCTATAATTACTTCATTTAATGTATTTTTTTGCAGATGGGTACTTCATGAGCAATTCTCCAGTGCCAGGCTGTCAGCAAATGCCCTTCTTGAGAGGCCTCAGCCACCAACAGTTACTCGGTGACAGGCAGCCCCTGTGATCCTCTCTATGTACTGTATACCATTGCTCTCCTGTTGGAGCAATAAGGAAGCTGAAGATGACTGTTTTTTTCTTCTGTGATAAATTAGAAGACCACTGTGGTACCAGACCCTTTTAAGGTGCTGCCTTTCTAACTGGTCCACCCTTATTTTCATAGCCAGCCCGCTTCACCCTGGCTCCAGCGACTGCTGCAAAAGTCGCATCAAAGGTTTGAATAACGTCTCTTGTCTCCTTGAGTAAAATTGGGAACATACCCTCAGGCCCTGGGGGTTATTTCATCTTGTCTGCCTCTAGTACATGAAACACTCCTGCTTCTCCTGTGCTGATACTGTTTAATACAGACCTTTGTCCTTCTGCTGCCTCAGGCATGTTGACTTCTTCCTTCGTAGACACCTGTGTAAAATACTCTTTTAGTACATCAGCCAGTTCCCTTTCATTGTCTAAGCCTTTCCCATTTTTTCCCCAATGTATTTTACTTCAGCCTTGACAGTTTTTTTCGCTGTTGCAATACCCAAAGAACATTTCATTTTCTTTGCCTCCTTACTGAATTTACCATTGACAAATACCTTTAGAAGCCCCGTGTTAAAATATGGTCTGCTTCCCCCATGGTAACCATCGCTTCCAAAACACTATTTAATTTAGTAGTTTGCTTCTAATGGCAGTAACATTTCGAAAAGTTAAAAACTTTTGAAATACTAAGTGGTTCGTTCTCCCCTGCTGACATTTTCTGGCTGACATTGGTTTTTAGTCTGAAAAATGTTACTAATGAGGAATTTTCATGTATACGCACAACCCATCAACCCCTGAATCTGCCAAGTCCCATCTGACATACAATATGTTTCCTCTCTGTCTTGACACAATGGAGTGATTGAGGGCCGCTTTCTGCAGTGGGCTGTTAGGGGTTCATATATCCACTCAACCTTATAAACAGCTCCACAGGCCAGACTATCCCAAAACACCTGCGACAGGAAAGGAACATCCCACCCCTGTGAATAACCAAGACAAGAGTTTGTCTTCTGACTTCTGATGTTTGAAAAGCAAAACAAAATGCTGCATTTTAAGGTCTGCTTTCAGAGATTGGTTTAACCGAACAGCCCCGAAAATCTGAATTCAAATCCAAAACGGAGCTAAAAAATATTGCCTAGCTTCAGGGAGGCACTGTAAGGCAGTGCTGGGGCCCTGGGCTCAATCCCAGACCTGAGGTGCAGTTTCCAGATCTGCATGGGGTTTGTATGGTCTCCCCATGTTCCTGTGTGTTTCCTCTGAGTGCTTCGGTTTCCTCCCACAGACCAAAGACGTACTGGTAGTTGAGCTGGCTCCTGGGAAAACTGGCTCCGCGTGTGCGTCCGTCAGTGTGTGCGACTCTGAATTGGATTGAGCAGTTAGAAAATTGTAGGGATGTATACTTGCGCCATGACTGCAAATTCTTATACTTTTTTTTTTTACTTGTCTTTCATTTTAAGTAACTTCCTTGACCTGGAACAAATGCTGCAGCATATAATTACATTAGAAAGCTTCTGAAACAAAACACAAATACCGAAACTCCTGGTCCACAATATGATGCAAACAGTAAACGTTTTGTGATAAACTACATTGTTCTTAACTAAATTCTACCTGAGATTCTTACACATCATTGACCTCCATATATAGTTTAAGGACAAAGCACAATACAGACCCTGTTATTAACCTCTTAACCTCTTGTTATCAGGTTTTGGGCTACAGAGTGAGTCATGCGTGATTAAGTCACATTTCACGTTATTTTTGCTGAAATCCTTACAAATAACCCTTAAAATTGTCTGTTGAATTTTCATCATTGTGTTTTCATAAGGTTTGGTCAGATGTTCTATACGGATTTTCTAGAGGGTCATCATGGAGGTTAAGTACTAAGCACTATGAATTATGGGAATGTGATTATTAATTGGCTATTTCCATATATCTACATACGCAGTAATACGCTGTGTATTTGACCTGCTCTCTTAAAAAAAGGACTCCTATGTTTCTCTAAATGCATTTTTAAAGAGCTGTACTAGACTTTTTGTGTCTTCGTTTAGGTCAGAATTATGGCCATTTAAAGAGAAAGTATTTGCAAGAACACATTGTCAGAAGGTAAAATGTTTTTTAATAACCGCGAAGCACGTGTTGTTGTTTTTTTAGGAGCAGAGCCCATCCACAGACCTGTTTCCCGGTTGAATCCACAGATACGTCAATAAATAAACAAACCCGAAACGTCTGTACAGTAGTTGTCGTGGAACAAAAGCATTTTGGCACAGTAGTTTTCACAAAATGCGGCGTGCAAATGAAAGGAATGTGGAAAAGAAGTCACGGCGTGAGAGGCTACATCGGGTCCCCCCGTTTTTTTTGTTGTGGGCGAGTGGTCCGGCTTGAATGGCGATGAAGTGATCACCCCACTAGAAAGGGAGAATCGCCGTGGGACTTTTCGTTCTTGTTCCGCACAGTATGTGTGCCGTGCTTCAGGACAGCTGAAAAGAGACGACGGCAGGGGGATAAAAAAACAAAAAACAAAACCGTGTCACTCTGTATCCTGCCTGGGACGAGCTCATCAAAAGCGGGCAAGTTGTGTCCGTCACGCATGCGCCGAGGCGCTGCAACGCGAGTGCCCTGCGAGGAGGAGGAGGAGGAGGAGGTAGGTAAAAGTCCTGCATCCAGGGATGTTGTATGAGCAGTTAAACTGCATCAAGGGAGAGAGCTGAAACCGAGCCGGTCGATGAGACTTCCACCGATCACGGCTTTAGAAGTCTCCGGACTTGGTTGGGCGGGGGGGAACCGAAAAATAAAAAATACATCAGCGCTGAATCCTGCTTTGGGAAACGGATTTTTTTCCCCCTTTCTTTCTGACAGCAGCGCTACTACTACTAGTAGTAGTAGTAACCTAACCCAGGAGCGACGAGCTAAGCGAATGAGCGCTTGCCTTTCTTTCAATCCAATGGATTGTGGCAAAATACCATTGTAATGGTAAAATGCACTCGGAAGAGGAAAAAAAAAAGCCTTACAATCGATCAACAGTGAAGCCTCCCACTGAATCCAGTTGCACCGACTGAAAAACTTTTTTTTCCCCCTTCCACTCACCCATTTTGTTTTTTTGGGGTTTTTTTTTTTCCTCCTTTTCTTCATCATTTTATTGGATATCGATTGGTGGAACATGCGGGGAAAAAGTTGAGAAAACAGAAAGGCAGTTGTATCCTGCAGGAAAAAAAAACGGGATATCTTTTTTTTTTTTAATGCCGGGGTGGCATTCTGAAATTCGTTCCGATGGCAGATCGACCAGGAATAATGTTCGGAAATGTTTTATGACAGAGCGGTGGAGAATCCCGCGTCGGCTTTGGGCATCTTTAAAAAGAAAACGAAAACTCTCATTAGCGCCTCGGGGGGGGAGTGTTTTACACGGCGTCGCCTTCTGTTTTGCGCTGTTTTGCGGTGTTACAGCGCGGCACACGGTTTCCGCCTCTACCCTCTCCGGTCAAGAGGATGGAGAACAACTTCCACGGCTCAAGCGCGGTGACACAGAAAGGCCGATTCATCTACGTCGAGGCTTGTCTCCAGGGAGGCGCTCCGTGGGGGTTCACTCTCAAAGGTGGACTTGAACATGGGGAAACATTAGTCATCTCCAAGGTAAGCGCTGCCCCGCAAACCCGCGCTCCCTTCGCGACGCCGGGACACGGTTTAGAGAGGCTGTGCCGTAGCTTTCGCACTGGTACCTGTTGGGGGTGACGTGCCGTCCCTGCCAGGTGTTACTTCGAGCAACAGGCACCGTGGAGCACCATGGATCATAATGAAGTTAAATGTTCCTAGGCAAAATCTTAAGACCCGGGTTTTTTTTTTTTGGTTTTGTTTAAGCGGCGAGCGCGCATTTGCCGGTGCGTTGCAGCGCATTGACGGCAATGCGTGGACAGGTTACCGGCGCCGTGCTGGTGAGGGACGCGAAACTTACTGAAGGATGCGCAGCGGCAGTCCCTTTCGCACAAAGGAAAAGTCGGAAATGATGTTTCAGTGTATTGTCATCGTTGGGG